TTTCAACAAATAAAATAGGATTCATAATCATAAAAATAAATAATGGGCTAAGACAAATAATTTCAACAAATAAAATAGAATTCGTAATCATAAAAATAAATCATAGGCTAAGACTAAGACAAATAACTTCAACAAATAAATTAGAAATAAATAATCATAAGCTAGAATGTTACCTCGTTGAATTCTAGACGGTCAAGATGTTGGCGGTACCCGTCTAGAGAGGTGCCACTCGTGATAGCTCCAATCCATCTAGCACCATAAGCCCATTGTCGTAGTGGCTCATCGGGACCCCAACTGTTGGCAGGGCAGATCGGAGCGAAAGTAGGAAGGTGCTCCCAAACCCATAGTTGGAGGATGAACATGGGACCACCCGCTTGCTTTGTTTTCGGATCCGTACACTTGCACAACTCCGAATATATCATGGCCAAACAAGCAGATCCCCAACTTTTTCTCCCAATCTCGTCCCAATCTCCCAAAAGAACTCGAAGCCACATACAATGCATATTTCCACCAGACTTGTTCGGAAACAAAAATCCTCCAACCAAACAAATAAGGTAGATGCGAGCATACCTCTCTATCTGAGCATCTGTGGCATCCTCCGGTAATTCCCCAACGGTCCTCACTAGCCAAGGTATCAATAACATAGACTTGTGTAGAGGTGGTACACGACGACCTTCTTCTGCTTCCTCGGGGATGTTGATACCTAAACGCTCGCTTATAAATTGGCCCCAACCATTCAATGGTTTCTGTGAACTTTCAATTATTGCATCACCATCGATTGGAAGCTCTGTCAGCATGGCTACGTCCTTCAACGTAATCGTCATCTCTCCCTCTAGAAGGTGGAATGTGTGCGTTTCTTTTCTCCATCTTTCCACCATTGCCGTAAGAAGGTTGTTGTCCATCTCCATCCCCACAAACTTTCGCACCTTCAGCAATCGCGCTCTTTCAATGAATGGCTCGATACGATCATCCCATTTAGGCAAGCGAGATAGCGACCGATGGGTGATTACGTCAAGTTGTTCCTGTAGAAAAAAAAATTAATTATTATACAAAAAAAAATTAGAAGAATACTATCACATTTAAAAAAAGAAAAGTAAATGAGGAAGTGCTTACCGGATCTGCCGCCCAAACACTTGCAGACCGATGGTAAGGTTGCTCATCCAACAAATCGGTTTCTCGCAGTCCGCCTTGAATGTATAATCTAGGATCGTAAATACTCGGATCCATCTCGACAATTTTGAGTGATAGAAGTACCAAACTAAAGAAAAAAAATCTTATGCGGAAGATCGGGCTTAGCCACAACCACAGAGCATATTTTTTTCTTCAAGAGTGGTGGGAGGAATTGAGGAAGAAGAATGGAGTGGTGTGGGATTTGGTGGAATGGAAGGGGGTATTTATAGCTGCAGTGGGAGAGTGGATCGAGTTTACGAAACTCGAACTAGGGCATCGATTAACAGGTACTCGATCCGCGTCAAAAGAAGATCGCGGATGTCTCCATCGAACGAACCAGATCGAGTTTGGGGTCCTCGATCAACGGTCGTTCGCCATTGACGTCATCGATCCGCGTCAAATAAATCGACCACAAGAGATTCGATCGACTGCATCGAGTTTAACGCACTCGATCCGCGTCAACCCTGCTTCGCGTGCTGTGGAATCGAACGGCCTGGATCGAGTTTACTGTCCTCGATCAATGGTAGTGCGCGCCTTACGTCATCGATCCGCGTCAAGTGGATCGATTGCCACAAACTCGATCTACATGCATCGATTTTATTCCGCTCGATCCGCGTCTTCACCACTTCGATTGTTGAGCAATCGAACGGCCTAGATCGCTTCTTTGGGCATCGATCTATGGTAGAGCGCTGGCCATCTCATCGATCCAGTTCCTGTAGATCGAGTGGTATATCCTCGATGCACGTGAATCGATTTGCTTCCAATCGAACCCCTTCTAGTTCGAGTTTGGTAAACTCGGTCCATGTCAAACTTTGGTAGTTTGGTAATTTTTTATAAAAGTTATGTATTGTGGGAATTAGTTTTAATTTTTACTGTATTTAGGGAATTAATCCGATCTATTAATAGCCTACTAGTCAATAATCATATACATAATTCAACCATCAATCGTCACATCAGTACTCTTCTGTCACTTATACAAGGTATTTAATCTTTTCCACTTTATTTTTTAATGAATGATTTTTCTCTTATTTTAAGTAGGAATTCAAATTTTTTGCACAGATATATCAGATTAATTGTGTTCTTCAAAATGATATTCACTTTGATATATTTTTGGAACAACAAAAATCAAGGTATTTTTTACCAGTCTATACTATAGTGATAATGATTGGTATTAAATAAGAACATACCATATGGTATGAAAGCGTATCATGGTGGTATGATCATACCAGACTGTAGGATGGTTGAATACATGATTGTAGAAGTATACTAACTGTCATTTACGACTTTCAACATTGTGTACCACAAGATATCATCCCCATACCAGAGTGGTATGGTGTGGTATTTTTTTGTCCTGTATTTTTTTTCTCATAAATTTGTAGATCCAATAAATCATGATGCACTCGTTTCTTCTGGGAAAATATTTTCAATTGCCAGTGGCATGTAGCATAGCTCTGCATAATGGCCAGTGAAGGCTGTCACGGCTAACTTTAGCTCATATGGCCCCTCTGGTTGTGTAAGGAAATCTTCTTGATAAAGAGAAATATCCAAGGCTCTGGTTGAGAATTATAGAAGGGGTGGTTGTTTTTCCTGGAACCCGAATCCATAGCCTTCTCTATATTGGTTATCCCATGAAGTCTCATGGTAATACCAACCAGGTGTTGGTGGATACCCTCAATGTTTAGAAAAACCATAGGGATTTATGATTCACATATGCACAACGGAAAAAAAACACTCAAGTAAAAAGCAAGGGTGGAAAAGAAAAACGAGAAAAGCGAAAATAACAAATTTCTATCTTTCCTAATAATCTAGAAAGTCTCCGTCAACGTTGCCAAAAAATTGAATTAAACAAATTCACACTATAAAATTTTCAATTTTGTGAATGGGTAAATGAAACAATATAACCTAAGGTCGTTGAAGAAAGTGAGAGTGTTAAACCACATATAATATCTTGTTCAACCTACTTAGTCAAACTCTCATTAAAATACTACACTTCTAAGCTATGAGAGTAAATTGGACTCGATGCTCAATCAGGCCGCATGTTAAAAAATGTGACTCTATGCAAAAAAAAAAAAAAATTGAATAGTTAGAAAACTCACAAAGTTTTATAATCTAAAACGATTTAGAAATGGAAAAAGGATTGTCAAAATAAATAATGAATGAAATACACAATACACATGAACAACCCATATCTAGTTGAATTTCCAAAAATACTCAAAGATTGTCAATATATAAGTACTAGAAAATGAAAAATGCATCACTTGTACACATGTGATCCGAATATGTGTCGGTTTTCAGTTGAATAGATAAAATACACACACATATATAAAGATGGATAGTGCATCGCCGATATACACATGATTTTGTATTTTTGTAAATACAAAGTACTATGAATTACAAAAAATAAAAACTCACACAATAAAATTTTAAAATGTGTGAATCAATAAATGAAACAATATAACCTAAAATCAGTTGAAAAAAGTGTGTGTTCAACCACATATAACACCAGGGTTGAACCTACTAAGTCAAACTATCATTAAAATACTACACTTCTAAGCTATGAGTCTATGAGAATAAGTTGGACTTGATAGCCATTAAGCCGCATATTCGAAAATATGACTCTATGTAAAAAAAATGAATATTCAAAAATATGACAATGAAAAAAAATAGTTGGAAAACTCATAGAGAATGTCAATCGATAAGAAATATAAAAATGGAAAGTGGATCATCAAAATACACATGATTAAAATACGCATGATGAGTTGATCTACAGTTGAATATCCGAAAACCTAACAAAGATTGTAAATCTATAACTAAAAAATGTGCATCACCGATATACATGTGATCCGTATATGTGTGACCGGTCGGCTTTAGTTAAACAGTTGAAAAACTCAAAAATGAAGAAACACTGATTTCAAGATAGCAAAAACAAAAGGATAAAATTAAAAAATTAACAAAAGAAGATTACTCAAAAGTTCCAGATGTGATTAAAATAAATGGAAAAAGAGATGGCAAAAATATCCGTAACCGTGGATATCCGCCCGAATCCGACTTAATTGGGTAGGGTAAAATCCAAACTCGGAGAACTTTTAGTGGGTACGGGTAAAACTCGAATCCGAACATTGCGGGTAATAGGTGACACTCTCACTATCCAAACCGAACCCGCCCGATTATACACATGCATATATATTTTGTCTATAAATAATCATTATTTTTCTCTAACATGTTTTATATTTAGCATATACATATAATATTTTCATGAAATTGTGTTGTTTTCATTAATTTTCTTCATTCTACTGAATTATTATCATACTTTTACTCTTATGTAATGTGAGAATATGTGTGAATGTTAATATATTGTTTGGAGTTATAAAGAGAAATTATTCTCCATAGATAACCGTGGATACCCGAAACCCGAACGGGTATGTGCATGGTTTTGATTTTCTACCCATTTCTTATGTGGGTATGGGTATGAGTAAAACACGAACTACTTTGGATAGAATAGCGGATATGCACTATCCGCCCGCAACTCGATCCATTGTTATCCCTATAAATATGTGTCCACAAAATAACAAAAGAAATAAAATTATACAAAAATATATTAGCCTTGCCACTCTCCAGATTCCAAGGCCAAGCATCGTGTGGTTGTTTAATCGCAATGATGCAGTCTGATCGGATCGAATGCTAAGAAACTAATTGAAGCCTTGAAAGGCATCACTTTTTTATCCAAAAAATTAGATGGGGTAAAGCCAGATTTGCGGCAGGAATCGAGAGGCATCTCCAATCAACAAATATTTAACACAAATTAAATCTGAACTTGCAACTCAACGATCCATCCACATAATACATATACAAAGCTGACACTTCTTCCCGAATTGCAATGGCCAAAGACAGGCAATAGGCAATATTCTCCACCTATCCATAAACCAAAAGAAAATAAAGCAGAAGAGCCAATTTCTTCCACCGAAACCCGATCCATGGCGAACAGGTAATCAAGCAGCACTACTTACTTGGGTCCCAAGCCTCGATCTCTCCCTTCTTCTCATTTCTTTTTTGGCTCTCTTGTTGTTTCTGTTTCCGTAACTCGCAGCAGGTGCGCTGTAGTGACGGGAGCGAACAGAGGGCTCGGATTCGCAATCTGCAGGCAGCTGGCTGCTAGTGGAGTCGTCGTGGTGCTGACAGCCAGAGACGAAAACAGAGGCATCCAGGCTGTTGACGACCTCAAAAGCAACCATGGCGTCTCTCCGGACAACATCGTTTACCATCAGCTCGACGTGACAGACAGCTCCAGCATCGCTTCTCTTGCCGATTTCATCAAAACCCAGTTTGGGAAACTTGACATCCTGGTTGGTACTACCCCCAATTCGACCAGTTCTGTAACAACTCCTTTCGATTATCAATTGATCTGGTTTTGGTCTCACTCACTGAATGCTGCGTTATGCACAGGTGAACAATGCTTTCTTTATTGGATGCATAGTAAACGAAGCTATCGTCACATCGACGCCCATCGACCAGGTAAGTGTCCAAAAGTTGAAACCATGTCAGTCATTTTTTCAGGGTTCAGATTGGAGATCGAGTAGCAACTTATGGGGATTTGCTCTTGTTTTTTTTTCCCCCTTGTCGAGAGAAGATCAACTGGGACGAGGCTATTATTAACACTTACGACTCGGCCGTGAAGGGCCTGAAAACAAATTACTATGCCGCAAAAGAAATGACCCAAACGTTCTTGCCTCTGCTTCAATTATCTGATTCACCCAGGATTGTTAACATTACCTCTTCAACAGGCAGCCTCCAGGTCGGTCGGTTTACACACACATCTCGTCTGGTTGCGAAATGCGTTATTGATTGATTGTGGGGAACTTGATTCGCCAGAGTTTTATATAATTGCAGAATGTGAAGAACGAATGGGCGAGAGGAGTACTAGGTGACGCTGAGCATCTGAGCGAGGAAAGAGTGGAACAAGTGCTCAACCGGTTTCTGAAAGATTTCAAGGACGGTTTGTTGGACAACAAGAAACATAGATGGACTGCTGCTTACTCCCCTTGTTATGTTCTGTCAAAAGCATCTCTGAGTGCATATACGAGGATCATAGCCAAGAGGTACCCAAGTTTCTGCGTCAATTGTGTGTGCCCTGGGTACGTGAAGACACAAGGAACCTTCAACTTGGGCAACTATACCCCTGAAGAAGCGGCCGGAGCGGCGGTCAGATTGGCATTGCTGCCTGACGGCGGGCCTTCTGGCCGCTACTTTAGTATGATGGAGGAGGCAAGCTTTTGAACCCTGTGGTGCGTTTTCATCGGTTGTTGGTGCGCAAGGAGCAGCATTTCTGTTGCGTTGTTTTAAGTTGTTTTCCAGGCTTTAATTTGACTTTGTGGGGTCATTTGGATGCAGGATTTTAATATGAGGGATTTATGAGGGATTTGGTCCCAAATCTCTCGTTTAAAAAACCAGGAAATTTAAATGAGTTATTTGATTAAAATTTCTTGTTTGGATGTGAATGAGGTATTTGTAAGTGATAATCATAATTACAAAAAAATCCCTGCCATTCTTATGCTTCTCCTTCGTTGCCATTTTTATGCCTCTGCCGTTGTGGCCGTCACAAAATCAAAATCCAACAGGGGACGCAGCTTGGGAATCGGAATGGTGGTGATCGGACGACGACGAGGATGCTGCTGCAGTCGCTGCGCCGCGGTGGTCAACGACGACGGGGTCGGCCACCGCGGACGAGGAGGAAGCCGTCGCGGCGAGGGAGTCGGAAGGGGTGGGCCATGCGACCGGGGAGCGGAATTCCGGGTAGTCAAACTCGGATTCGCCCTGGGTGTTGATTGCAGTGGGGATCTTCTTGGGTTCTGGGTTTGCCGGTCGGCTTAGGGGAAGAAGAGTTGTGGCCGGAGGAGTTGAGGAAGAAGGTCGGCGGCGGTGTGGTGACGATATAAGAAGCGGGTAGGAAGGGGTAATAGTTGGAAGAAAAAATAGAATAGTGAGGGATTTTGAAATAGCTGATCCCCATCAGCTATTTTCAAATCCTACACTTGTAGGTTTTCGAAATCTCTCATGATTAAAATCTCTCATTTTTTTTAGCCTTTCCAAATGAGTGATTTTAATTAAAATCCCACACTATGTAGGATTGTGCCCAAATCCCACACCCAAAACCTGCATCCAAATGACCCCTGTGTTTTTTGCTTTTTCGCCTGTCCGAATTTCGAGTCGGTGTTTCTGCTTGTGAGGTCCGATATTTGGTTGAATCAGAAGGGTTCTGTCATTTGAAACAGTGTAGTCAAAATCGCGCATTAAAACGTAAAAACTTACGTTTTTACGTATCCAGGCCACCAAAACGTTTCAGTTTCTACCTAAAGTCGCTTAGTCACAAAAACTGGTAAAAACATGGGTAAAATCGATAAAATCACTTAAAATCGGTAAAATCGCGATTCTGAAGCGTTTTTATACGATTTTGATCATCTCATAAAAATGTGTTAATTGGCCCAAAATGATGTAATTTTGGAGATATATCATCAAAAAATAAAAAAAGGAAAACATGATTCATCACTCGTTCTACAACTAGTGTCGAAATAGGGGATTCACATTAGGTTGAAAAGACGCCTAATGGTATTCTCAACAACCGCTGACCTTCTATTAGTATTCTCCCTTAATTTTCACCTATGGCTCTTACCTGGGTTACGATGAAAGTTTATGGGTAATTGATCGTATGTAATTATGTAAACTCAAACAAGCTTATGAGAATTTGGATTCTCAAGCTCGTTTACGGGTTACGATCTACGTTTATGAGCTTATTATTGAGATGCTATGAGTTATTTCTACTTTTGAGTCAACACAACTTAGTTTATGTGTTAGATATTACATTTTAATTATGAATTTCATGTAGTTATCCACTTATCTAAAATCTACACACTCACATTTTACATATTATATGTTGTACTTAACATATTTTAGCTATTTTAGTGGGTGCGTCAAAAACTTACGATTTTACGCTTTGATTCTACGTTTTACGATTTTACCCATTTTCCGCTTCTAAGTAGAATCGCGCTTTTAACTGCATTGATTTGAAATTTTGTGGTATCTCTGAGAGTCGGTACTAGTCTACATGAGAGACGATATTCTCAAAGGGTTTCATTATATCTGCTTAATCACCAAAGTACAACAGTTGTGACCTATATATAGGGTTTTGAGTTTTAACCCTACTCATAATTACATTAGACAACCATAGCTAAATAGTATAATTACATATTCTTAAATAAAGTTCATAACTTAACAACTTCCCTCAAATTGATGTGTGGTGCGCAACATCAATTTGGATGATAAGTACCCGTGTCGACTAGAAGCCACTGCCTTCGTCAAAAGATCTGCGGTTTGATCTTCTGTCAATTGATAACCAACTGTTTAATGTAATGAATATGGACCTTGATGTGCTTAGTCTTGTCATGCAAAACCGGATTAATCGCAATCTGTATAGCACTAGTGTTATTCCCATAGACGAGCATCGGAACACGACATGCAACTCCCAACGCCTCAATCAGACGTCGGATCCAAACTATCTCAGAACGGACTTCCGACATAGAACGATACACGGCCTCTGTTGATGATTTCGATACCTTATCTTGCTTTCGACACCTCCTTGAAACAAAAGACTTCCCAACCCGTACACAGCAACCTGAAGTAGACCACGCGTGTCCACACATCCTGCATAATCAGCATCAGCAAACGCCTCAACAGTAGGGTCTCCCTCGGCCGGGAAAAACATCCTCACATCCTGTGTCTTGCTTCTGTGAACCGCTGCCAAATGAAGGGCAGTAACCACCCCTATATATTGGCTAACCACCTGAACAACATATGCAATGTCGGGTCGAGTATGGGTCAAGAAAATGAGAATTATTTTCCTTTTTCTTTTGGCTAAATTGTATTTTATCAAATACTAAGTTGACAAATTTAAGAATAATGATGAAGATTCTTGATGATAAATAAAAAGGCGATACCAGTTATTTTGGAGTATATATAAAATTGTGTTAATAAGTTTGATATGAGTTATATACCTTTGCATAATTCCTATCTTTTGAATTTTAACCAGAATCTGTATAGAAGGCAAATATTAGTAATGTTTATGATTGATGCTAATTTTCAGCAATTGAATATTTTGATGTTCTTAATGTTAAAAATGATGAAATTACCTTGCTAGCTATTTTGTAAAATTGATAATATTGTTTGTTAATTCGCACGACATTGACATATAATACTGGCAAGAATATAAGAGAAGAGCAAATTGTCAAAATTTAAACTTTAAAACTTTATTAATTATTGTTATCATATTGCGATGCGAAAGGGATTATTGACAAAATTAATCAAGCCGACACAAGAGATAGCCGGTTGGGTGCTGTTCTGGAAGATATTTGTCATTATTTTTGTAACCAGCCTGGCTTTAGTGTGCGTTTGTAGGTCGGGAGAACAATAGGGTAGCTCATTTGGTAGCTAGGAAAGCCCTCTCTTTGTATCCGACTATGAGTTGCTTCTTTGATTTCCAGACCTGGCTGGTTTCCAGGGTGTAACTATCTTTTCATTCAATATATGATATCTTTTAAAAAAAAAATTTGCAACGGGCTAAGTACAATCTAATCATAGTTATATTAAAGTGACTCCGATTTAAGTGTAAAAAAGAAAGGTGATCAAACTGCTAAGCCAGCAGTGATTTTGTGGAAAAAATCCCAAGTTACACATGTTTTTAAAAAAAAATCTCAAAATACAAACGTTATGAGAATAATTCCCAATCTACGTTAGTTTGGGCTATCACCGCTGTCGACGAAGACAGTGATTGCATCACTGTTGTCGACGAAGACAGTGATTGCATCACCGCTGTCGACGAAGACAGTGATTGCATCACCGCTGTCGACGAAGACAGTGATTGCATCACCGCTGTCGACGAAGACAGTGATTGCATCACCGCTGTCGACGAAGACAGTGATTGCATCACTGCAGTACACGGCCGCGGTGAAGGACTGACCTGCGTCGAAACTTTAAACAAACGTAACTTTGTGCTCGGTTATCCAATCGTAGCGAAATTTTTTTTGATTCCGCATAATTTTTCGAGATCTTGCAAGCCGCAAATTACCGTAGGCGGTTTGGTCCCGCCTTCGTCTCGAAAATATGTCGTTTGCTACCCCGAACGAGCATTTTTTCGATTTCGTCAAACTTTGAACGACCATAACTTTGTGCTCCACAATCCGAAAATCATGATTTTTTTTTTATTTCGCATTAACTTTTTAACGACTACTAATGTGTTCAGTAAAGCCAAGATTGGCAATCTGTTCATAAATTGGATCCAGGTGAAAATGGACTGGGCCTGACTTCCTTCAAGTGGGCCGCTTTAAAGTTGATTGATCTGGTTTAGACGGAGCCCCTCAGAAGAAATGTTCCTTGTAGAATGGGAAGTCTTTCATCGTGGAACGGGAGAGTCTCAGAGTCGGAAGAACACACAAGTCTGAGCATTCAAACAGCGAAGCGACTCTCTGCGCAGCTTCTTTTGGTCGGCCTCTGTGCAGCTTTCATCTAGCTTGGCTGAAGAAAAGTACAATGCCCTTATCGTAGTTAAGGATATTCCTTGGTCGCCTTGCCCGGCCCCTTTATTTGTTCCTGGTCATTCGCTTCTATCGTCCGTTATTCGTGCGGGATTCGGGAGTTGTGTTCGTTGTCAAGGAACGCGCCGTCTGAGTTTTACGATTTCTCCGCGTTGGAAGGCGGGGTCTGAAACTTGTGTAAGTTTGGAGACCGGGGTTGTAGTGCTTTGGTGTACGCTTTTGGTTCTGATATTGTGCACAAGGTGTTTGATGAAATGACTGTGTGGGGATGTTTCTATTATGGACGGAGGCATCGAAGTTCACCCGGGGATCAATAAAGGTTTTAAGTCATTGAATACCCCCTGTTTTGGTTTTCTCCTATGATCAAGATTTTCGTATGAGGACTGCCAACATAGGTGATGGAGTCATGAAGTCTCTTTCTTATGTTTCTCCCACAAGGAAGGAAGCTGCTGCAGTCTCGTCATTACATTTGTGAAGTTCAGTATGATGGGTTTTCTCCAAAGAGATGAAAAGGTCAGCCTTTCACTCGTTGGGACGTTCTTTTCAAGTACTCTCTCTGCGTGCCAACGGAGAAACCCGCCTACATTGCTTACAGTTCTCGTTCCGAACATGTTTGAATCAGTGGCTCGCTTTTTCAAGCTCAAGCAATGTGAGACCTTTTCCTGATTACTCTCCAAAGAAGCCCACAATTAGAGATTCTGATCTTGTCCATCAAATCTCGAATGCAATCAGGTTACGGCGTTCTGAGCCCCTCCGCCGTGTTCTAAAGCCTTTTGAGTCGAAGTTTAGGTCCGACCATCTGGTTTGGGTTCTCATGAGCATCAAGAACGATTATAAATTAGTTTTGGATTTCTTTAACTGGGCGTGCCTTCAAAGAGATCCCAACCTTGAAGCTCGTTGCATAGTTATTCAAATTGCTGCTGCTTGTAAGGACCTGAAGGTGGCTGATGAGCTTATTCGTGACTTTTGGGCGAAGCCTAACTTGGAGGTTGGTCATGCTTTCACTCTTTTTGTAGAACGATTAATATACACATATAAGGAATGGGGTTCTGATCCCCACGTATTTGATGTTTTCTTCCATGTCCTGGCTGAAGCTGGGTTGCTTGCTGAAGCAAGAAGCTTCTTTGACAAATTGTTGAACTATGGGATTCTTGTTTCAGTTGATTCGTGTAACCAGTACTTGTCATACTTGTCAAACAGTACGCATGGCCTCGTGATGACTTTGAAAGTCTACGTTGAGTTCTCTCGAGCTGGTGTGTGTTGGAATACGACCTCATACAACATAATAATGAGTACCCTTTGTCAGTTAGCTAGATTGAAGGAAGCACATACTTTGCTACTGCAAATGGAGTTCAAGGGATATCCTCCTGATGTTGTAAGTTATAGTACTATAATAAATGGTTATTGCCAAATTGGAGAATTAGAAGAAGTGTTGCATCTTATTGAAGAAATGCAGTTTAAGGGATTGAAGCCGAACTCTTATACCTATAATAGCATTATCCTTCTTCTGTTCAAGAGTGGTAATGTCGACAAGACAGAAACAGTCTTGAAAGAGATGGTGAATCAGGGGATAACTCCTGACAATGTGGTCTATACAACGCTAATTGATGGTTTCTGCAAGCGGGGAAATACTCAAGCTGCTTATATGTTATTTCATGAGATGCAGGCTCAGAGGATTATTCCCGATTTTATAGCATATACTGCTATCATTTGTGGATTTTGTCAAAATGGAAACATGCTGGAAGCTGACAAACTCTTTACTGAAATGCTTGGTCGAGGTGTGAGGCCAGATGAAGTTACCTACTCAGCACTTGTTGATGGTTACTGCAAATTAGGTGATATGAAGAAGGCATTCTTTGTTCACAACCAGATGGTCCGACACGGGCTTGTCCCAAATGTTGTAACTTACACCACACTGGCTGATGGCCTTTGCAAAATTGGAGAATTGGAGACAGCAAATGAACTCCTGAAGGAGATGCGTGCGAAGGGCCTTCAACTGAATGTCTGGACATACAACTCAATGGTCAATGGTCTTTGTAAGGTAGGAAATCTACCCCAAGCACTGCAGCTGAAGGAAGAAATGGAGGTGGCAGGAATTCATCCTGATGTTGTCACTTATACTACGTTAATGGATGCTTATTGTAAGATGGGAGAGATGGGTAAGGCCAGTGAGCTCCTGCAAGAGATGCTGAAAAGGGGGCTACAGCCTACAGTTGTTACATTCAATGTCCTTATGAATGCATTTTGTCAATGGGGAAGGCTAGAAGATGGGGAGAAGCTGCTACAATGGATGTTGGACAGGAAGATAATGCCGAACACCACGACGTACAATTGTCTTATGAAACAGTATTCAATAAGAAACAATATGCACCGAACAACTGAGATTTATAGGGCAATGCAAGCTGAAGGTATGATGCCGGATAGCAACACTTATAATATTTTGATTAAAGGACACTGTAAGGCCAGAAATATGAAAGAAGCGTGGTATTTGTATAAAGCGATGGCCGGAAAAGGATTTGTTCTCACGGTTACTTCCTATAATGCTCTGATCAGAGGTTTCTTGAAGAGGAAGAAAATGTTAGAAGCAAGAAAAATATTTGAAGAGATGAGAAGAGAAGGACTGAATGCTGATGAAGATATATACAGTTTTTTTGTAAATTATGAAGAGGGGAACAGTGACAACAATTTTGCGCTTTGCGATGAAGCTATAGAAGAGCTTGTGGGGAAAGCAAAAAACTAAAGCTGATGTGCAGTCTCCTGCTCCCATAGGAAAGCCATAGAGAAACAAAAGTCTTTGGATCTGAACATTTGGTTAGGCGTGGTAAGTGCTGGCTGCTTGAGGATAAATTGGAACTCTTGTATGTTTGAAGGCATTAGTTTCACTTAACTATGTAGTGCTTGTTCTCGAATTGATGTTGGTTGTGCAAGTTCTAGCAAAATGTTGGTAATAATTATCCTTTACTGTTGTTTTGATTTTGTATGAATTCTTCACAGAGCTCCGAGTCCTGGGCAACTATGGGCACCAGAGGACAGAGGTATAATATATATTTTGTTCCCAGATAGTGAACTGTTCCTTGCCTGCCATGCAGAGAGCTTGTCTGGAATTTTAGTCTTGGTCAGCATGTCTTGTTTCTACAGCAAAGAGGAAAATTAAAGGAGGAATTCATGATATGACGACAGAAGAGAAAGCAGCTGATTCCAATAGCACAAGATTTTCTTCCATGGACAACACATGAGCGTGAGGTGAGGTCAATTTGTTTGAACCAACTTTAGCTTGCTTGTTTTGCTACTGAAAATAGCATTCATGAATTTGGTACTAATAAACAAGCCAGTGAATTATATCATGCTTGGTCTCTTTCTCAAGAGTTCATTTTCAATCTGCCTTGTCAATTGCAACACCTTATTAAACCTCCTGTGACAGAGATCAGAATAATGCCAATAAATTGATGCTTCACGGCGACATACTTGCAGTCGAACTGCTGAATCTAACCACAAGGTAATCCTTAAAGAAATTTTTGTCGTTCGATCGAAAAAGAAAGGAATTTTTCTGTGTGTACACTTGGGCACTTGGCTAGTTACAGAGCTGAAGGTTGGGTTTTATTTGTTACAGGGGCTCCGACTTGGTAGCTCTGTACTTGTCAGTCGCTGTACTGAATTAACTAATCTCAGAGAGCTGGCTGATATGCTGCATTGCTCTCACAATTAATGCTGCAAGCTACTCTTTGCTGTAGGTATCATTAGGTACCACAGAAGCTTCCCCTTATTCAGGTACAAGTTGGAAAAGAGAGCGGCAGCTAAAGGTTAGCGTAAGTGATTTTGCTGACCAGTCATTCCAATATAGAATATAACCAATTTAGCTACTGATGTTTTCATTCATCCTGTAGTTGGCGGTGGTTGAAGAAGATTACGAGAGGAGCTCGTTCCACTGCTTCTCTTCCCCGGTCTCACTAGCGTCTCTCTGCTTCTCTTCCAACAGCCCCATTTCAAAGCGGCCTGTCCACACCCTGATGAAGATCCTCACCCGTCTCTGTCCCACTCCGCCGTCCTTTTCCCTCCGACCATGAACTGGCGGGATGCCAAGCGGTCCGCACAGCAAGCGACATGGACAATGGCTAGGAATCCCACCATGGTCTGGTCCCAATCTTCTTCCTGTTCGCCACATCGTCTGAAATTCTTATACTCTGCTACTATTACGATCAGCTTTCTTGTGCATAAAATTTCAGTCTGAATTGTTTAGACTAAATTCCACTGAGAACTCGAGAATCAGTTAGTTTTGGTCCTCCCTTGACATCAGAGGAAATGGCAAGTGCCCAATGTGCTTCCTTAAAAGAAAATTACAAGGGTTGACTTATGAGTATTTCTACTATGAGTTGTTTACTGAGCGATTGTGGAAGGGACCGGGAAGTTCAACTCTCAACAGCTTGTCCAATACTTGCAACAACTAATTGAATATTAGGTTTGCGCATATAATTTGACTTATGAGTCTTTCTACTATGCTTTAAAGTATTGGTGCTTTAAAGTACAACTTTAAGTTGTACCACAACGGTAAAGGTACAGTTAGAGTTGTACCATAAGGGAATTTGATGTTTATGTTAGACTTGAAGTTGTATCATAATGTAAATGTACAACTTTAGTTTGTACCATAAAGAGATTTTACAAAAGAGTATAGGTACAACCTAAAGTTGTACCATAACGTTAAAGAAGGCAAAAACTAAAGCACCAATGCTTTAAAGCATTGTAAAATTCCTCGACTTATAATCACCATAGCAAAGTCACCAAGTCAAGGTAATTCGAAGTTTAAAAAAGTCACATAGCAGCTCGGGACGGGATATGGTGCAAATCTTATTAATTGTTTGCAACATCCAAACTAAGGGCAAAAATGGTAATGAAAATATTAAGGTTCAATAAGATGCTAGACCTAACATGCACGTTGAGGTCTCGTTTAGCGCCTAGATTGTCGAGACCTCGTCGCCTAAACGTGTCTATGTGTTTAAAGAGAAATAGCGATATGAAGAGTAACAATTTACAACAGTTTCATACTTCAGTTTAAATGATTAATAACTTGCTTAACAATAAAAAAAATTAAGCTCACAACTTCATAGAATCATATCTCAATAACTCACAAAGTTCTTGAGCTATTGATATAGAAGGATTTAGTTTGTAGATGATGCTAATCCCCTCTTTGTTATTGACGGTCTAGCTCCTTCTAATTATGCATAGGAGAGAGTCGAGAGACCTAAGTGTCACTTTAATTCGTTGACGTGTTTGTAATATCTAATTCGCTGCGGAATCCCTAGACGAGGCATTTTAGCGTTACCTAGTGCCTACACGTGCCTAAAAGCAAGTTTTAACGTATCTTTTTGAACTCATATTAATTATATTTGGGAATTAAAGACTTATATTAATCACATTTTAAAAAATTAAAAAAAAATCATAGCAGTTATACTTTTTTCTGAATTAAAATCCTAAATTAATTTAATTTATTTGTCTCACTTGTGCGCCTCTCTTCCTTTCTCCGACATATTTCTTCCGACCACCTTCATCCTCGAGACTCTAAGCCTCCAACCGCCTAAGTGAACTTGTACCATTACACGAAAACTCAAATTCCCTAACTGAAAACCAATATCACTCTCACTATATGCAAGTCAATATCAAAACAGAAAAATCAGTATCACTATACAAAAACCAGTATCCCTTCCTTTCGTGTTGTTAGCGAAATTACCACCCCATTGTGGAACCTGTTAGAGAGTGGTATAAGATCCACGATTGAACCTCTCCCAACAACTCGAGTTATTGGGATCAACTGGTTCTTGACATGGTATCAGAGCCTAGAACCGTAAGGTCATGTGTTCGAATCTCCACGACCCCCAATATTAATCGTTGTCTTTCAAGCACATGGTATGGTGGGTCTGTGCAAACTTTAAGCCCATGAGTTGGCTTTCGTTTGAGGGGGCGTGTTAGAGAGTGGTATAAGATCCACGATTGAACCTCTCCCAACAACTCGAGTTATTGGGATCAACTGGTTCTTGACAGAACCAATCATCCAGAAACACAGTAAAGCCGTGACTGGACGGCTCCCACATGTTCCGTCTGAATTGGCATAGTACCCAGCCGGCCACGGTCCTGGGAATGATGGTCCTTTTTCCAGTACGAAGATCTAACATTCTGAATAAGCTTAATTAGACGAACACGGTCTGAGAATACAAGGTAGATTTTGGTTCAGCACCTTTCTTCGCAGTTGAATCTCAGCCACAGGATCCATCTACCACCTCCCCATTTATCAATCAATCCAGAACCACCACCACCAGTCATCAATGACATTTAACATTTTCACCCACTTCCCCCAAACAAGATCAACGAAATTAATACACGTTGATTTTCTTGCAATATTTTGTTCTTTCCTCACAGTCCCCATAAAGCTTCATCCTTTCTTCACTCTCTCTGCCGAATGAATTTCTATATATAATAGGGTTAATACCTTAGTTTGACCTCAACTATACACATACTTTCTACTTTGGTCAATGGTATTGAAAATTGCTATTTTGGCCTGAACTATGTAGCAAACTTCCTCATTTGGCCCGGAGGTGGGTTTGACCGTCAAATTAGACGGTCAAACATGTTGACCGTTAGCCAATGTCCACCTCACCTGCCACGTCAGCTTTGAGGAAATAAAAAATTATTATTTTTTATTTCTGAATTTTAATTTCTTTCGATTAATAAAAATAATAAATCAAAAAAATTAATTAAAAGAACGAAAAAGGGTCCATTTTTAGCAAATGACAAGAAAACAAAATTCAGAAATAAAAAAATATTTTTATGTCCTCAAAGCTGACGTGAGGTGGACATTGACTAACGGTCAACAAGTTTGACCGTCTAATTTAACGGTCAAACCCGCCTCCAAGCTAAATGAGGAAGTTTGCTACATAGTTCAGACTAGAATAGCAATTTCCAATACCACGAGCCAAAGTAGAAAATATGTGTATAGTTCGGGCCAAACTAAGGCATTAACCCTATATAATAGGGATTTCCAGCCCCTGTTTCTTCTCCTAATCAGGAAACAGAAAAATTAGCTCCACCCATTTCTCAAACTTTTCTAGCAGCATTTTTTCCCCCGCCATGGCAGTTAACAATGATGATGTGAAGCTCATCGGCGCCTGGGCGAGTCCGTACGTGATGAGGCCTAGAGTCGCCCTCAACATCAAATCCGTCGACTACGAGTTCCTACAGGAGCAATTCGGGTCCAAGAGCGAGCTCCTCCTCAAATCAAACCCCGTCCACAAGAAAATCCCTGTCCTTCTGCACAACGGCAAACCCATCTGCGAGTCCAGCATCATCGTCGAGTACATCGACGAGGTCTGGTCCTCTAGCCCTTCCATCCTCCCCTCCGACCCTCACAACCGCGCCCTCGCCCGCTTCTGGGCTGCCTACCTCGACGAAAAGGTACCCCTATTTTGAAATTGATCTCGAATTTGGATTCTGAATGTCGATTCCTTTAATGGGTTGTGGTTCGATTTGGATTCGAATTGAAAATTTGGAATCTTTTTTCGGTCGGCCAGTGGTTCCCCAACGTGAGGGCCGCGCCGAGGGCGGCGACGGAGGAGGCGAAGAGCGCGGCGGTGAGCCAGCTGAAGGAAGGGATGGCGCTGCTGGAAGGAGCGTACGGAGAGATGAGCAAAGGGAAGGATTTCTTCGGCGGGGAGAGGATTGGGTTTCTTGACATTGCGTTTGGGAGCATGCTGGGGTGGTTGAGAGCCGTGCAGGTGATGCTGGGAGGAGTGAAGCTTCTTGATGAGGAGGAGACGCCTGGTTTGGTGAAATGGGCTGACAAGTTCTCGGCTGATCCTGCTGTGAAGGATGTCCTGCCGGAGACTGAGAAGCTCCTCGAGTTCGCCAAGATCCTTATGGCCAAAGCGAAACCAGCTGCCTCGTAGATTGCTTGGGGGCGGGGGTTTTGTTTTTGTGATGAGTAGAAATAAGCTGTTAGGCTTTGGAATTGGGCATCTGTTTACTTTTTCTCTTTGTTTGTGATCACGAGTAAGGAAATGAGTTACATTTTTTGGGCAATCCATTAAATGGGAATTACAAATGGGCAGGTCAAGGAAAATTAATTGAAACAACTTAGAAATGAAGCCCACCAACGAAAGCCCTCAAACGAAGCCGCCACAATACAATCAAAATCATGATTCGAAGTAAAATCGAAAAATTGAGAAAAAATTCGGAATCCTAGATTAAAATCACAAAATTGTAAGGTTCGTACGAAAATTAACACTTAAAACAACGGATAGTAATAACAATGCATATCGTGAATAACAATCAACCACATATCACTTAATTACTTCTCAATAAAAGTTTATATGCTATAAACACAAATAAATCTATAGATTCTTTCTTGTACATAAGATAAACACAAAAATAAGAAATCTGAAATGTCATAAAAATCACTTAATCAAATTAACAGTTAAGAGTATAATATCACATAACATCGTTTGGATCAACATTAACATCTAAATCCTCAATGTCATCACCCTCATCCTCAATCTAATCCTCATAAAATCCGTGCCTATTTGGCTGACCATTGATATCATTATTGCGAAGATCACTTGAAATAGTTTCAACACCAACCATATTTCATTGATTGCCATCATCCGACAGAGGGAACTCATTGATTGATGCATTCCCTTATTGATCGAAAGAAGGTTGGGGATGGTGGCACTGAAGGTTTGCGAAATGGACGAAAGCTTGCGGGGGGATGCAGATATGGGCTAACTAAGAGGGTGATGGGAGGGCAAACAATGAGCTAATTGAGAGGGTGGTGAAGGACCTCGTTGACGGAAGAAGTTGGGTGCCAGCTTGCGGAAGAGAACGAAAATCAGTTGAGGGTCGCTTGTTAGGTTAGGGTTTTGTTGTCCATGTGTTGGGTCGGGGAAGTGAACTTGACCCGATTCATGGGCAAAATCCAACCCGACCGACATGATATTGCTCCAATTGACATGATTCTTCAAATAGTACAAAATCGTATTGATCGTAGATTTTAATGATTTACAGTTTTAAATCGAAATTTTATGAATTTTTAAGGTTACAAAGATTTAGTAGTAAAGTCAGGATCGAAACTCATAAGTAAGATCGTAAAACTATAAGATTTTAAGATTAAAATCAGGATTTTAACTACATTGGCCGCCACAACACTCGAAGAAAACTCCACCTCCATCTTCAACCATTGGCGGGGGAAAAAATAAAAATTGCTGCGAGACCAGAAAAGGGGAAGATGGTGAATGAAGATACATAATGAGAAGAGCTCACCTAATGTAGATTCATAATCGTGTGTTTCCAGCTACTTGGAACGCCTTATTCTGGTTCTTGGATAATATCGAATGTGACTCAATCATTTTCGGGTTAAATTAAAACAAGTTAAGGTATCATGGATTGTGGAATCCCGTAATAAGCTAGCGTA